ACATAACCTTATTTCTTTTAAAAGTAAAGGGGGGGGGGGGATAATTAAAATGTGAATGCAGGAAAGTAAATGTAACCGTATGGCTCCACTAAGCAGAGTTTCTTTGTAATGCTTAGTTTGCATAGGGCCATCTTAGTGTTTACATCAACTCTGGCCTTCCAAAATCCAGAAGAGGTCACCAGAGCCTGTGCTGGTTTGGTTTCTGGAAAGTATTGACCATTCTGGCATGACCCCCAACCCCATTTCCATCAATACATTGGTACCAATCCATCCTATGTATATGGAAGCCTGGGCCAATGTAAACACTGCAATATTTACATAGAGGCTGGGCAGCATACAAATTAGTTTCAGTTCAGGAGAGTACAGAATTATATAATATTGAACTATTTCTGCCCTTATGATCCTGGATGACGCTGAACAAATTTTAAATACATGTTATGCTTCATTTCTGAGTTCTTTATATAGATGTAGGCAATTAAAACCAAGCGTAAATCAGTCTTGTCCGATTCAAAAAATAATCTTTACTTACTATTTTGAAGCAACACCTACATTTTCTTGTGCTCAGTTGTCAGGCAAAAGTTAGCTGAAGATCATGAGATGTAAACTTTACAACAAGAACTTGAAAGTAATATTTTGTCTTTATATGTACTTCCTGGGGAGCAAAGCATTGCTTTACATTTTTGCCCAAACACTTACACTCATCATGTTTCTAGGTGCTCCCATGTCTCTAAGCTCATCTTCCCTGAACCTCCTGTCCAGTACAAGATCACAAAGGACAGTTCAGACTTCAGCAACTATCCATCTACTAGCTTGGAGAGGGGAGAAGGGAGGAGAGGGGGAGCAGGGGGGAGTAGAGTAGCTTGATATACTGTACTGTGTCTGTGTGCTTTTGGAGACACACTCACAGCTTACTAGCACACACAAGGGTGACTGCTTAGCCGTCTGCTTAAGAAAGGAGTCACTCCAAAAGAGGAAGTCAGGACCAGTGCTCAGGGGACCAGCTGCTTCTGCAGCAAACTAAAACTTTTAAACATCAAGCAGCAGCATTAATTGTATTGATTTAATTAGCATTTTAAATAGCTTAAAATCCTTTTGACTTTAATATTACTTTAATAGTTCACTTTATCTACATGCTATTCAATTAAAGCATATAAAGCAGGAGTAGGCAACCTCGGCACTTCGGCTGAGGTGAAACTCCAAATCCCATCCTGCATCTGCCTATGGGAATCATGCCTGTGACAATCAGAGTCTTCCAATGCCTCATGGCACCTGTAGTTCCACAAAAACTGGAGTGTTGAGGTTGCCTAACCCTAATATACAGAGATTCGTATAGAACAGGCTACAGAGTTGCTGACCAGGGTACTAGGAGAGTAGCTGTCCTTGGATCAAATAGAGCAGCGGTCCTTGGTGCAAGGAGAAGAACTCTCCATTGTGCTAGAGGAGGAGCTGTCCATGGTGCTAGAGGAGGAGCTGGTTACAGTGCTAGCAAATAAGCTGTCCTTGTTGCTAGCAAATGGGACGTCCATGGTGCTAGAAAAGGAACTGATCACAGTGCTAGCAGAGGAGCTGTCCATGGTGCTAGCACATGGGTTGTCTGTGGTGCTAGGAGAGGAACTGCTGATTACTGGTACAGTTATTGACTTTGATTATTTTGTATTTTAGCAATCAACTGACTATCTTTGCCTCTTTACATTGCAGGAAGTCCCCTTTTCCCGTGTCTGGTGCAGTAACCAGCAGCCACTGCACTGTGCCTTTTCCCTGGAGCGATATACGCCAGCCACCACTCAGCTGTCCTGCAAGATCTGTGTCAGACAGGTCAAAGGCCATGAACTGATTCTTCAGATTCAAACATCCATCCTGGAGGTGAGATGACAACTTACAGGTTACATGCTGCTTATGATCATAAAACTGATCTGGAGGGTAAACATTCAGCATTCTGTATTCTCTTAACTGTATCTTTGATTGTCTGGATTATGAGTCACACAGGATAAATGTGAATTCTCATAGGATAAATGAACTGTAAACACAGAATGCAAGTTTACTTGTAGTTTCTGCAAACATCTGACATTTTATTAATATTTGCTGTGTGAGGAAGCTATGCAGACATATTCTAAAGCAGAAGCTGACCTTAGTTTTTTTTTATTGGTGGTATTTCCAGGAAGACTGTATACAGAGAAACATATTTTATCTATATTTTGCTACCCCTGCAAATATACAGTATACATACACAACCTGTTAGTGTCTCTGATCAAATCACAAATTATGAAACATTTTCAAGTGCGCTGGTCCATATCATTTTGAAATTACATGTTCTATACTAACACCAGGACATTTTAAACAAGGTTTTAATATAAAATTCAGTATTGATAAAATGTGCTGCATTTTCTATGTCTGCAATTCATCAAGGAATAATAATGCCATCCAATCTTATATCAATACAACAAAGTGTAATGTGACTGAAGATGAAGGATTCACCTCTCTGCCATCTTCATAACACATGCGTGCACAAAGTCATCAAAATTGACTACAATGATTATATCAAACTAACGTAAAGAAATATCTGATTGTTTGATATAAGTTACTGTAGATTAATTAAACATTCTTTTATATTTTAATACATGATGTGACTATAGTTGGGGAAAACTTGATAATAAATGAAGCAAGCAAGAAATAAAGTGCACAACATGGAACAGCTGGAGAATGAGCATTTACAAAATACAAAATGGAAATGGAAATGAGGCTGAATGAGTTGCCTGTAACAGCCAATCAGATTCTAATTGACATTTTTCAAGTGCAGACCAACAAAAGAAAAACCATGGGTTTCCGGATAAAAACCATCCTGATATATACAGGTTGTAATCAAATACATAATATTCTTGATCAATTCATGAAAACCAATAGTTTATTATTTAATATTTAAAAAGTTACATGATTAATAGAAGTGTACATAAAATAATGTATGTATTGGTTTTATGTACACTTCTATTAACCATGTATCTTTTAAAATATTAAAAAATAAACTATTGGTTTTCATGAATTGATCAAGAATATTATAAATTTGATTACAACCCGTATATCCGGATGTAACACTTTCAAAGCCCCATGGTTTTTCTTTTGTTGGTATTCAATTATAACTGGTTGCTATTTTTCCTAGTGCCATCCTCACTGTACTGCAAAAAAGGAAGCTTTGTGTTAAAGAATAGAACGTTTGGAGACAGCAGGATGGTCTTGTAAGGCCATCCTTTTAACATTCTATGAAAAAAGTAAGTAGCAATTTAGACTGAGGAAGGCCAGTGGACTCAGTATACCTAGATTTTGCTAAAGCATTAGATACTGTGGTGTTGATTTACTAAAGGCAAATAGGCTGTTTACTTTGCACAGGGAATTTGAACTTTGCAGGCAGCGTTTCTGTTAGCTTGGTGAATGCAGTGAAATTTCACTCTGCAAAGAACACTCCATCATGTACAAGGGCTTTTTTTTTCTTTCTTGCAAATGATTGGATGGGAGAAGTAAGCTGAGCTTCACTACATTCACTAATCAAAGGGGAATATTCCCCTGCAAAGTAAGGAATGAACCATAGAAAAATGGTTACAGGAATGAGTCTAGAGAGTAGTGGACTCCTCTTTGGGCCTGGGCTACATTCTTCCAGATAGATGTGTACGCTAGACATGTACACTGCAAAAAAAAATGTTTTCTGATAAAACAAATGAAAACAAAAAACGTTTCCATTCGTTTCATCAAAGAAAACACATTTTTCTGCTGTTTTGGATTCGGAGGCAACAAGCCTCCGAATCCGAAACCGCACACAGAATGCAGAACAAGCGGCGACCATGTTTGTGGCCGGCGCGTTCTGTGCTTATGCACTGCCATCTTTGGGTGTATCTTGGTATACACAAAGATGGCGGTGCTCGTATGTTCGGGCACCGCCATCTTGGTGTATACCAAGATATACTCAAAGATGATGGTGCGCCTGCGCAGAACACAACATCGGCCGATATGGCCACTGCTTGTTCAGCATATGATGAAACACTGAAAATGCAGAACGAGCGGTGCACTGCCATCTTTGAGTGTATACCAACAAATACGCAAAGATGGTGGTGCGCTTGCGCAGAACGCACCGGCGGCCAATAGAATGCAAATTAACTTATGTATGCCCGAATATATAACTATATTCGAGCAAATAATACATTTGTTATTTCGGATTCAGACGAACCACCGAATCAACTGAATTTAGTTAATTTGCAAGTTCGTCCGAATCCGAATGCACATGTCTAGTGTACACTTTGATTGCACAAGACTGTCTGTGAGCCTCTTAGAAGGAAGGACAGTGTCGGCACCAATTCAGAGAGGATTTGAGGCTCTACAGCCGAGTGATACACAAATAAGATACATTTTTGTTAATAGTTATGGTACTTGAATGTATTTTTTAAGATTTTACTCCTGAGTTTAGTGTTACTTTAAGTATCTAAGCTATGAGTACCAATTACAAAAATTATACTTAGAGAAGAGGCAATTAAGAGGATATGATCACAATGTACAAATGCACCGTTACTGTAATAACAGTACTAAACTGTTTACTCTATTGAAGAAGGTACACAGCCACAATTTGAGATTGGACAAAATGAAGTTTAATCTTAAAGGGCTGATTTACAGGTAGAGTAGTGAAAATGTGGAACTCTCTTCCATAGGAAGCGTTACTTAAAAATGTTTAGATGTCTTCCTCAGTGAACACATGCCTGTGTATTTTATCAAATGAAAAGGTATTTACTGTATAACTGTATAATTGTGTGTACACTGTAAATCGTTTGCATGTGTCCAGATGTTAAAGAAATGTGGATGTGTGGATAGCAAAGGTGGAAAAAAAGAATTTGAACAAATTGGTGAAGATGCAGATTATTCACCACTGGTTTACATGGGTAATGCAAACAGTTCTTGCTAGGTACAGCTGTGCAAAATGCACAGCTATTTGGAAATATTTATTTTAAAAAATATGATAATACGTGCAATGTGTTAAATTAACTATTGTGCCCAAACAGGACATATTGTTTCTGACAAGTGTGTACATTTGTTAACCAAAATCCTGCCTGTTTATAAAGTAGTAATATGAATAATTATAAATTAAATATAATTTAATTCAAATATTTTCAATGTAATTCCTAGACTAGAATTACAGGATGTGTTGCTTAGGAAAAGGGTAAAAAGCACTAATTAAACAAATTGCTGCGTTTAAGCTATCACATGTTCGAGAAAAGAACCAAACAATCCCCTGACACTTCTCGGAAGCAGAAGCTGTCATTGTTATAAAGGCAAAAATTACTAGTTTTAACTTTGGTGATTAAAAAAATAGGAATGTTAATGCAGAATTAGCAGACTTCATTATGTGGATCAATATAAATGAATTATTTTCTACAAAATTGCTCTGCAGACCTTTATTAAATATATTTAAAAATGTATATTACTGGTGGAAAGGGTGAAAGAATGAATGGAACCTTGGTGAAGTAAAAGCTGATGCTTTTAAACTGTGAAATAAATACTATTGGGGAGTCTGTAAAAAATAAATCAAGGTAACTGGACTTGCTGTATTTTTCTTTGAGACATTTTGGTGGTCATCTGACATCTCACCATGACCTGGATGAATGAGAACCTTCACAGACACTATCAGGGAGTGCAACATGTAATGACTCTACCAAAGGGGTAGTAACCTTTAGCAGTCATTTCATCAGAAGCTGTGGTGCAGCCTGGAAAGATCCCAACAAATTGTCGGAATTCACCCCGCTGCCTGATTGATAGCTGGCTCTGACTCTCTAGATCCAGAGCCAGCTATGCCCACCCCCTCCACCGTTTGTGCCCCCAATCAGCGCTGAAGGAATGGAGAGAGGAGGATTGAGTCCCCGTGGAGAGATGTGACTGAGAGTCACATCTCTCTGTAGGGAGAAGATTGTGAAATTAGCAATCAGCAGTAAGTGATCATTCAGTTCTTGATCAATAGAGCCAATGTGTGACAGCTGCAGTGTCACATAAGTATGTGTATTTCAATCTCCCCATAATTCTCTCTTAAGTAAGGCATACAGGTCTTGTGCCTCCCCAGCCTGTGGCTGGACAGTGTAAGAAGAAGCATTTCCCTGTCCCTCCTCTCTCTCCTCCTCTCAGCATATCCCTTGTTAGCACGTGAGCAGTGCAGTACAACTAATTGGATCATTTTCACTCTCCCAGTTTGAGTTGTACTGAATAAGGGATTGCAAGAGGCTAAAACCAGGTACAATTTAGGTACTTATACTACTTGCATTAAAAAAAAAACATACATTTAATAATGCATTAAAACCTATGTCCAGGAACAAAAACTTCCCTTGCAGTGGGGCCATCCCTGCACTGCAGTTAACCATTACAGTGTGGGGGCAACCCCACTTCAAGGGTATTTTTTGCCCTTTAGAGGTTTTAATGAATAGTGAATTAATTTGTGTCTTCTATATCTTGTTTCAAGCCTCTGTGGCCTCTTCAAAGTCTGCATTTTTATTCTAGTTTTTTTAAATCAAAATACAACTAAGATCTTCTTTATTCTGCATTCTCTAATGCCAAGGCCATTAAGCAAGAAGTACAATTCCCCTACTGTAACATCTGACTCAGAGCTACCTCGGTAAACACTAACATGCCAATGAATTGTACCAAACTGTAAACGATATAATGAAATGTATGCAAATATTTCTATACTGTGAAAAATAAATACATGACACAAATCTAAGGTTCTATGCGATGTGGCATAAAACACATCTGAAGCCTTTTTTTCTTCCTAGCTGCATTTATCTCAACCCTCCTGCAAAGAACTAGAAGAATACATATCAGCGTGTGGGGAAAAAAAACAAAAA